GCGGCTTGCTTTTGCTCATCCGTACCCGTGTCCGACTTGCGACCCGCGACATCTTGGGCGCTGACCATTCTGGCGGAATAAACCTATATGTGGCGCAGGACATCGGAGCAGGTACACAGTAGAGGTGGGTGTTGAGGCTTGACAGCGGGATTTTGGTGGGGCTAGTGACCCATTCATCCTTGCTTTTCGGCTTTTCGGCAGCGGCCGCGTCATCGCGCAGCCGACAAACACCAAGACCTTTTATCAACGGCTATACTGCAGCGGACATTATTGTCAAACCAACCTTCTGCTTACTTCAAACTCGTTTTACTATGCAGCTATCTGAATCAACGAACCAACAAGCCGAGTTTATGAAGTAGGTTAGACTTGTGCACATCAGTTGGCATATTACCCTTCCACGGCTACTCAGGGCCGCTTCCGTCATCGCATTCGTTCGGATCTCTTGCTTGCTTTTATCCTCAACCTCCCAAACTAATCAATCCTTATCAATACGTCTCCCAATTATTAGCACATCAACATGTTGCATTGCAGTAGGAAGATCCGAAGTGCAAAGACATCAACAAATGTAGCGTGATCGAGGCGCGTAGTCTCAACATCGTCGAACCAGTACCGCAACACATCGATCAAGAAGACATATCCGATGACGATGAAGGGAAGAACCGATCACTTTCGCAGGACGATGCCGATTTCCAATTCGATTCTAAAGAGGATTCTGTCTATGAGTACGATTCATGACCCGTCCGCGATCGTAGCCAGAGCGATGTCTAGATCCCCAATCTCTCCCTAGAAGACGGGTTGGTGGCAGGATCTAGCTTTGCAGCTGAAGATGATGCATTTGATGCGTACCTGAAAGAGAAGAACATAGATGGTGTATATGGGGAGTTGGGTATAGCAAGCGATTTAGGTGACAATGATGAAGCAGCCGAGCGGAAGCGTGGTAAGTAGGGTGATTTGGAGGATGGTATGGACAATGATATAGGCCCTGCTGGTGAAGAAGGAGGCGAATATCAACGACAACGATTTGTAGAAGTGATGTATGTATGTATAATCATTCTTCCTTTACAGTCTTCACTTATTGTGTGGTCAAGATGTTTTTGCGAGGTTTGTTCATCGCCTCTTGAGCAAAGACATGTCGAGCTTGATAGGGCGCTGCATCATGTTGTAAATCTCTCGCAATTTCAACCGAAAGTTAACAACTGTTTTGCTCCTTATGTTTAGCCTTTCCTACTTCGAACGTTATAATGTCATCACTCACTTGCGTTGTCACGGTAGCTGTCTGTGGCACTTATGGAAAGAGCAAATCGCAGAATACGCGAACTCGTAAGCGGCGTCTACTTCATCTTCGGGGAAATGTTCCGTTGGATCTGGGATATGCCTTGGGTATCCACCTGGTTCAGGAAAGGTCTGCTGTCAGTATCGTCTGATCTCACCGTTTGCTCCTGCACTTTGCTTCCATACAGCGGCGTCACGGCCAATATAGGACACTACTACCTCACTTCTCCTCTCTGCACTTCCAACTCACCACTTCTTTCACTCGAGCATCACCTACAACCTCACCTCTATCAGCCATCATGAGCGACATTCTCAGCGAGAAGACGACTTCGGACGTTAGCAGCGATGCCACCACTTCGTCCCAGCGATTTCAGGACCAACTGGAGTCTGTTTTGAAGAAGCTGAAGACCGATCCAGGCAGCATCACGGCGGACGAGGCTCGCATTCTGACTGAGAACGTCGCTAAGCCTGACGACAGAGCGGTCCGCATTATCTCTGCCGTCGAATCCCTAGCTATTGCTAACAAGGTGTGCAATATCAGGGACCCAGTCACGACCAGGCTCCTCATCGTTCCCTGCTGATGGCCGCCAAGGACCTGCATACCGCTGTGGACGGCAGCTCTGAGGAAGCAACTACCGAGATACTTCGTGTTGCTCAGAGCATTGTTAGTAGTAAGTTCATAAGCCTACTACACACCCCACCCAGCTGGCCTTGAGCTGAATGTTGAGACATACACTGACGACGCCACAGAACTACAAAAGGCCGTCGGTCATACCAACGCCCCCCACCCCGAAGTCGAGGCTGAGCTCCAGGAGGAAATTGCTAAGATCGAACACAAAATCACGCAAGGCACTGTCACCAAGACTGAGGCTGACCGTCTCCATTCCCTCGAAGCTCGTGCCCATGGTCATACCGAGAAAGGGGGTATCGCCGCTGCAGCTCAGTCTGTCGTAGCTAAACGTGAGCGTCAACTGTCACCGAGCAGCGGTTCTGGATCCGTTTCGAGTCCCATCTATGAACGATCCCGTGCCAACAGCAGGAACTTCACATCGCCTCAGGAGCAATTCTGTCAAGAGAGGTTGAACGAGTTTCACCATGCAGATATGGCTATCAGGCCCAAGACCGAGGCAGAAATTGCAACCAAATCAGGGACCGACAAACCACACTCTCTCGAAGTTCGTGCTAACGGCGGCACTGCAAAGAGCGACACTTCAGCAATGCGTGGATCGGTCGCCAGCAGCAGACGTTCTCGTGCCAATAGCAAGAGCATTACCTCACCCGGAGAGCAATTTCGCCATACCAAGGATGAGAACCAATGCGACACGGAGGCGTTTATCAGGTTCAAGACAGAGAAGGGCACCGTTAGCCATACTGATACCGACACTCTCCACTCCCGCGACATGCGCTCCCTTGGCCGCACTGGGACTCGCAGTCTTAGTGCCACTGCGCAGTCATCCATCTCGCGTAGAGCACAAGAGTCTCTCGGTAACGTTTCCAACTCTTCTGGGACGGAGAACCGCAAAGAACATTCCCAACTCGACAAGGATCTCCAAGAGGTTGATAAGAAGTTGGACAACAGCAAAAACGAAGCCTACAAGAAGCATCTCGTGAACACGGGCCATGATTGTGTCGATGAGAGCGATGACATTCAGCTAGAAGACGGCGAGATCTGTTCCCGCTGCGGCTACACCAACTGAGTGGCTTGGTAGGAGTGACCACGGATTTCGATGATATACCTGGGAAGCTGGAGAAAGAAGGGGTATTAGAGATGGACTCTAACGAGATATTGTCAAATGGCATACGAACCTGTATACATAATCGAACCGTCTGTAGGACACCCAAATGAACTGTATCTACCTTCTTCCTTACAGAAATTCGTGTCCAAGCTTCATTCTATACTGTGAAAACGTGAAGCAAACATGAAGAAATATCCATGGTATCAATTCTTATGAACCTACTCAAAGAAACCTTTACCGACCATTCCAAGCCGCTAAATGCATGACAAGGCCTCCTCGGTTTCTGAACACTATCCTTACGCCCAATGCAACCCACTCACTTAATTTCCGTCTTGGACATGAGGTCTGCCAAATCATCAACCTTCTTATCCTTCTCCTGTGGCACATTGCTCTCCTCGGCCTTGGTATCCTCGACAATCTGTCTCGCAGCCTTCTCCTCGACCTCGACACCCTCCTCGTCGTCATCAGCATCGCCACGCTTCTCCTCCGCGTCACTCTCCTCTTCATCTTCGTCTTCGCTCTCCAACTCATCTAGCTCGTCCAGACCCCAGTACTCCTCATCGTCCTCGTGTTCACCAGACGCCTCTTTCCGCTCATCGAGCACACTGCGGAGCTTCTCGATACTAGGGTCCTCCTCGTCGAACTTGTTGCCATTTATTTCCACACGACGGAGAGCAGGGAGGGCAGATGAAGAGGCAGAGGCAAGGCCAGCAAGACCCTTGGCGTTGATATCGTTGAATTGGAGGCGGAGGACTTCAACTTTCTTGTTCTTGCCCTTCTCCAGCGCGGCGGCGAGCGCAACGCCTCCGCGTCCGCTGAGGAGACAGTCGCCTACGCCAAGCTCACGGAGCTCAGTCCAGTTTCCGACGGCTTTGCTCAGGGCATTTGCGCCCATGGCTGTGAATGTGTTGTCTTGGAGATCGAGCGTGTCTAGTTTAGACAGGTGTGCGAGACCGTTGGTGATGAGGTGTGAGATACCCTCCTGACGAATGCCGTTCTGTGTCATCTTGATGGTCTTGACGCCACTGTTGGCGGCATATGCTTTTGCCCATGCGGCCATGCTGCCGTTCTCCAGACGGTTGCGACCGCAGATTACGAGCTCGAGGTCTGGGACTTCTTTGCCATCCTTCCGTGCTGCCTCCTTCTTGGCGGCGAGTGCGGTGAGTGCATCGGCGACGAGGACACCGGCTGCGGGTCCGAGACCGTTGTTGTTTAGGTAGAGGTAGCGTAGTGGGGTGTGTTGCGACAGGAAGTCTACGAGCGGGGCAACGGTGTTGAGGCCAAACGCGTTGTCCGAAAGATCGACGGTGTGGAGGTTTGGCAGGGTAAGGAGGGAGGTGAGGAGGTGCGATAGCGCAGGTGGGATCTCAGAGAGGAGACGCGAGGTGAAGATGTCGGCGAGGTTTGCGACCTAGAGATTGGGTCAGTCCCTTTTTTGACATCGCATCGCGGTCAAGCGGGGTTGTAAATATTACCTGTAGACTCTTCTTGCTCTCCAAGACTTTAGCAAGAGCCTCGCTGGCTCCGATGCCCAATGTGTTGCCCAAGAACTTGATCTCCTCTACATCGTCGTTGATCTTCAGGTCCTGGATGTGTGGCTCAATATCCTCCGCAGTGGTGAGTTTCAGGCCCTTGCCCTCAATCGAGAAGATCTTTGCTCCAGCCATGTTCTTCACAGGCCCTTTTTGCAAGTAGTACTAGTAATATTCTCAAGTGTAAACAACAAGATAGCAACAGGGGGGGCGAAAGGACTCGTTTATAGTGCGTGTGACTCGTGGGTCGCAATTGTTTTGGCGTCGTAGTGGGGTTTGGTTCATTGTCTAGACCCCTGTCGCCTGCAGGGTTAGTCTCAGCCACATGCCACATGCCTGTGGCGTATGCCGCGGGAGTGTGCGGCAAGATCAGTGGCTGTTGAGCCGATGACATGCTCGGCGACTTTTGCGATGGATTGCTAATCACCTTCAATTCACCACCACCACACATACAGCCAGCATGTCTTCAGGTAAGCTTCTGGGCTAGACGATGGTATGCATGCGACGCAGAAGGGCTAATTGATGGGATTGTAGCACCACCGACCGCCGGCAACATGGGCTCAGACCTCAAGGACACCGCTGCGCCGGGGAAAGTCAAGCCATGCTGTGAGTGACCCCCCCCCCCCATATGAAGTGTATGCGAGACATGTGCTGACTTCATGCGCCAAATTTTAGGTGTCTGCACCGATCAAAAGGCCAAGCGCGACGAATGCATGCTCTTCTCCACATCGAACGACCCCCAAAAAGAGTGCTTCACTCTAGTCGACGATTACAAGAGATGTATGGCTGGATACGGCTTCAAGATATAACACATTGGGCAACGTTAGTGTATACGACATGTACAACACAAATGCATATGGGTGGCGTTGCGCACTAGAGGCTTTTCTGTATTCGCTGTACAATATTTGAGGAATAGGGAACCAGAATCTTCCCTCCAAAATCTACCTGGGTATCTTGAAGAAGTGCTGAAGTGCGACAACGAATAATTGCCAACTGCCAAACTTTACTGCGTCTTGTCTTTTACTCCTCCAAACAACTCACTCTTGACTACAAGTCGCCACAAGCACCAGAGATAGCAAAGGCCGAAGCCGCCTGTTCCCACAATCGCATTCGCCACAACCCAGAGATCCGGTTTGTTAGTTGGTGGAGGATAGAATGCCTCTGCAATGTGCCATGCAACCATGGCCACATAGACATTGAGGTGAAGGATCTTACTGAAAATGCTCAGCCCACTTCGGCTGTCTCCCTGGAAGGTGGAGAAAGAGACTGGTGGAAGACCAAGAAGATAGGCCCACAAGAGTGAGATGACAAAGTATGGGACTCGCAAATCATCTCTCTTAAGCAACGGGAACATGGTCCAAACGCCGAGCATGTTCGCAAGGCCAACCCACGCGCGAGTGGAGGGTAGCAAGCCGTCTTTTCCGCTAAGAAGTAGTGTCATTGGCAACAACGGAAGCAACACATTCTTCTCGTGTACCTGGTATGAGCAGAGAAAGAATCCCCAGGAGACGGCTGCGAAAGCGAGTGGAAGGAGCTGCTTCTTGGGCTTGATAAAGATGATTATGCACGGCGGCAGGATAGCGGCGGAGGTGGCAAGTAGCGCGAGTCGCTGAAGTAATTCAATCGGGTACCGGTTGAGCTTATGAAACGTGTGGATCGTGCACCAGATGTTCGCAACTTTGTCTTCGAACAGTCCCCGAGAGAAGGGGAATATGCGATGAATCGACTGCCCCATCTCCACAACATAGGGAAAGTACCATGCGTTCATATCCCATGGTGTCATGAACCATCTCAGGTTCAGAAGTGGTGGCAATTCGAGGGGAGCGTGGTTGAAGCCAGTATAGACATCGTATGCGACACCCATCAGGAATGGGAGGTACAGCACAGCGAACGCAGCCACAGTTGTCAGCGCAATTGCGAGGAACCGCACGATGTTGATCCTAGGGAAAAGGCAGATGCCCAGCAGGTATGCGAACACCGCAGGCGCATAGAACAAGGCCATCTGTTTGAAACCAAGCGCGCCAACGAAGAAGACGCACCCCCACAGTGGTCTTCCAGCGATCATGCTCGAAAGTGTTGCAACTGCAAAGCCAAGCATGACGGTGTTGTATTGGAAGTGCCCGTGGTCGATCAATATAGTGCCCGGTTGCATCAGGATAGCCACCAGCGCGATTGACGACTCCCAGATATTGACCCCTTCTAGTCGCGAATATCGACGGAGGAAGATGACTATCGCGGGAATGCAGATGAGGTATTCGGATACGAAGACAGTGGCTCGCATGTATATCTTGAGGGAGGGGTCATCGAGAGCTCGCGACTCATCGAGAGCGAACCATTTTGGATTGATAGCAGAGCCACTACAATGATCAGTACTAACATTCAACGTACAATATTTCCACATACATGACGCCCAAGATCCAGCTGTGATATGCCGTGAGAGGCGGGTAATCCAGCCCCCACCATTGCAAGTCGTAAAAGTACCATTTCGACACTGGTAGATGTTTTGTAATCTCCATCCAATGTCGCTGAGCTTCAAAATCACCGTGCATTGGCGGCGATTGGTATCCAGAGTAGCCCCACAAGCTGACAGTCCATCTGAATAGGCCAACTACCATCAGAATGAGGGGTATCGTGATCCATTGCGAGACGGTGCCTTTCGCTGGCCAGAGGAACGCGACGAGAGGGAATGCGGGCTTCCGTGCATTAGTAGACTGGTCGAGATCGAGTGTACCGTGAGCGACCTGGGCGAGAGAGCCTTCTTCAATCTTTCGCCGCCGTCGCGGCTTGTGAGCTGCTGGAGATGCCATGTTAGAGCTACCCAAGTGAGCTTGGAGAGGGTCTGGACGGATTCGAGGAACGTGGCGGATCGATGTACGCGTTACCGCATCCGAGCTAGCCGCTGCCCTGCATTTTGAGCCCTGCTGCGAAGAGTTCTATCCCCAGCTATCGTCCGACAATGGACCGGCATACAATTGAACTTCTGCCTGGAAAGTGTCTTTCTGAACTTGCCGTTCAGGTTCTGTTGATCCGATTGAACTACTTGTATGCACATCACGTCTCAATCGGGTCGACATGGTCTAGGTGTCGCTCCAATAAGATGCATACACCGAAGCGTGACAAAGCTGCTTTGAGTGCGACCCCGACAACCCAGTAGACAGCCTCGGTACACATACTCTCTAGGATTTGTTGTATCCGATGCCTGTTTAGATTATTGGGTACTCTTAATGTGAAATTGTGGATTGAAGATTTTACCTCGTTTGAAAGATCAAATCAGGTAATGGATTATGCCAGCCACAAAATTCCTAGTATAATCACCGAGGGTTTACCGTGACTTGTCCACATTCTCAATGAAAAACAGGCATCCAAAGACCCTTAAGTCGTTACCTCAAGGGTATACCGCCGTCGCCGTCGCCGTTGGATGGGTTCGCAGTGGGGCGACTGTAGCGTACCTCTGAGAGCGCGTCTCTAGCGCAACGCTCGGACCTCGGATCCGCTGAAAAGTTCGATGCTGATCCTTCTGCTACATAAACTGCGCGCTCCCAGCCATTTGCTAACCACCACCTACCATCAACCTTCTTCACATTTCTTTTCGAACATTTACCGTTCGAAACATACACTGAGGGCTTTCGCGATTCTCAAGTGGGCTACTGAGGGCAACATCCAGTACCAGATCAATATACAAGTCAGTGGGCAACGTTTGGCTTTTCCTTAACACACATTACAGAGGGCACGTCTGTCGCTCGCCAGGGCACGACAAGATCATCCTGAGGGCTTTTTGCTACTATGAGGGTTAATCTTCCGGCTTCTCGGCTTTTGCGGGAACGCGCTGCCTTGAGGCTCGGTTTTCTGTGGGCTCTTGTGGGCTTTCCGTGGGCTTGAGGGATATCCGCTTCGTGCGGTCTCGAGAGATACCAGTGGGCTTTTCGCAATTTGAGACAATCAGACCAAGCAGGCTGGCGCACATGACAACCTTTGGGTGTCAGCGCCCGAGCGACGGCGTCATTGCCGTCGACTCCTCTCTTTCCTTTTTCTACCGCACATCATTGGCGCTTTCGTCGCATGTTTCACAATACTAATACGTTGTAGATCTAGTTACCTATCATCAAAATGGGCAAGACCAAGGTTGCGGACAAGTCGTCCAAGAAGGACAAGAAGTCCGAGGTCGCCGCCGTCAAGGCCGGCCGCGTTACCAAGCCCGCTGCTACTCCCAAGTCGAAGAGCAAGGACATTGCCAAGTCAGTTGCTTCCAACATTAAGGACAAGAAGAAGTCGAAGAAGGCTCCTACCCCAGAGCCTGAGTCTGATTCTTCGTCTGAGAGCGAGAGCGAGAGCGAAGAATCCTCTGAGAGCAGCAGCGAGGAGGAGGTCGTCGAGAAGAAGACTCCTGCCAAGGCTGCTCCTAAGGCCGCTGCTAAGGCCGACTCCGATTCTGACTCGTCCGACAGCAGCGATGAGGACAGCGACAGCGACAGCAGCGAGGAGGAGAAGCCTGCCCCCAAGGCCGTAAAGAAGGCCGCGGCCAAGGCTGAGTCCAGCGACTCTGACAGCGACTCCGACAGCAGCGAGTCTGAGGACGAGAAGCCCGCCGCTAAGGCTGAGGTCAGTTTAGCACTTGATTATTACACGACGTAGACTAACTTTGATAGGCCACATCCACCTCCGACTCTGACGACTCCTCTGACGCCGACTCCGACGACTCTTCCGCTTCCGAGAGCGAGGAGGCTCCCTCCAAGAAGCGCAAGGCTGAGGAGGCTGCTGCCCCCGCTATCAAGAAGACCAAGACTGAGGAGCCCGCCGCTGAGGAGGGTGTTAAGAACCTCTTCGTTGGTAACATGAGCTGGAACATCGATGAGGACTGGCTCCGCCGCGAGTTCGAGGGCTTCGGTGAGATCGTTGGCTGCCGTGTCATCACTGACCGTGAGACTGGCCGTGCTAAGGGTTTCGGTTACGTCGAGTTCGCCAACGCTGCTGATGCCGCCAAGGCCCAGAAGGAGATGCACGAGTACGAGCTTGACGGTCGTCAGCTCAACGTCGACTTCAGCACTCCCCGTGCTAAGCCCGATGCCGGCGGTGCCCGTGCCAACAAGTACGGTGACAAGCGCAGCCCTCCCAGCAACACTCTTTTCCTCGGTAACGTCTCATTCGAGTGCTCCAACGAGAGCATCCAGGAGGTTTTCCAAGAGTACGGTAACATCACCCGTGTCTCTCTCCCAACCGACCGCGACACTGGTTCCCTCAAGGGTTTCGGATACGTCGACTTCGGCTCCCAGGAGGAGGCTACCGCCGCTCTTGAGGCTTTGAACGGCCAGGAGATCGGTGGCCGTGCCATCCGTATCGACTACGCTCAACCTCGTGAGGACAACGGTAGCGGCGGCTTCGGTGGTGGCCGTGGCGGAGGGCGCGGGGGGCGCGGCGGCGGCCGTGGTGGCTTCGGCGACCGTGGCGGTCGTGGAGGTGGCCGTGGCTTCGGTGGCGGTCGCGGTGGTGGCCGTGGTGGTGCTCGTGGCGGCCGTGGTGGTTCGTTCAACCGCGGTGGCTTCGGCGACTTCCAGGGACAAAAGAAGAGCTTCGATTAAGCGTCTTCTAGGACGTTACTTTGCACATCCTTCCGTGTATCTGCTTTGATCATCTCGAAGAGTAAGTAATGGAGCTGCCGTACGATATGATGTGAAATGATCATCGAATCTGGATTTCGGACCTCTGGGTATGGCGTTCATGGGTAAAAGTCGTTTGATTAGAGATACTCCAACCACTTGGTCTGATTTAGGCTGGTTATGGAAACTTAGTTGTCGATAGTATAACGAATTCATTTAACAAACTTGAACTTACCCTGCTACGTGATGTCGTGATTCATCTTTATAGCCATCAGCATTCTTCCCGTACTACCATGCGCTCCAAGTGACGCCTCTTGTAGTGTACTTTAGCACTGCTGGCCTATTCACCCAAGTAAGAACACTTCGCCTACCTACGACTACCCAACTCCGTAGCTGTAATTCTAAGTGACACGTGGTAGAGTGGATCACCCATAGGTGCATCAGGTTACATAACGCCTTCGCACATGGGCTTAAAGCTTCCGGTTTAACCAGTCCTCCACTTTAGTGCAGTGATTCTCAAGTTCGGTTAGTGAATTCTTAGGTTTGGTTCCCAATAAAGGTTTAACTATCCCAACCACGGTACACTCGAAACCGGGTACCGGCATCAGTGCCAGGAATTGGGGGCGAAATAACAACGTCACATCACAATAGCACATCTTGGAGTATGTTAAGACAGACAACTGACCTATGGGTCAAGATACGACGACTTGCTATATACTCATACAACCCAAGAAGCAGAGTACTAAACTCAACACAAGGAGATAGATGAACAAGCACAAAAGAAAAGACAGACAAGAAAAATGAGATGATGAAACGATGCGCTACAAACATCAAGACATATAACAGGTGATGATACAGTGATCGATCAAACCTCCTCAACATCCTCGAGGCTAAACTGCTTCTCGGCATCAGCATCAAAGCATGTCTCCCAGCAGAGAACCTCGCTGGGGAAATCCTTCTCCACACTAGGGCGTTCGCGGACAAACCAGGCCAGTCCCGCACCGACGATACCGAAGAGTGCGAGGCAAGTCCAGAGAGCGAAGTTTGTTGTTTGTACGCTAAGATCGTCGCTGAAGTAATAGCTTGTGCCACTGACTGCAACGGCAAAAGCCTTGAAGAGACTGGCGATCTGCATCATACCGACAACGGTGCCGGCTGAGAAAGCATCTGGTGTGGTGTTGAGGACGAGCAGAGAAACGAGAACGTTTGCGCCACCGGTGAGGAGGTGTTGGGTGAAGATTGAAAGAGCGGAAATGACGGGTTCAAGACCGGAGCAAGTGACGACAATGGCGAGGATGGGTGTGAGGACATATGTAGCGGGTAAGAGGGCGGAGACGGAGCGGTAAAGTTTGACAAGACCGTATTTCGACGTCGCGTAAGGAATGGCGTAGTAAAGGACCATGCCTGCAATGCCGCGGACACCAAGAACGACGATACTGAGCCAGTCGCACGAGATGCCCATGCCGCCTTGGTCTGTGCTGCTGTGTCCGAGGTGGGGAAGGACAACGTCGAAAGTCGATGCATGGAGCGAGAGGAGACAGAAGGAGGAGAGCAGGACCATGAGAGATGGGGCCTGGAGGAACTGGGAGATAGTGATGGGTTCGGGGCGAGCAAAGTCAACGAGGGTGATGTTTGTGTCTTCTGAGTCGCGGCGGAGGAAGGCAGCTTTCTCGCAGTCTATGTCGACTGAGTCTGCGGAGCGGTCGTTGTGGTGAGGAAGCGTTTCCTTGAGGCAGATGCTTGCTGTGAGCGCAATGGCGAACAAGATGGCTCCGCAAGCTAGCTCAGAGCCCAGGGTTGGAAAGTCTTGCCAGACCATGTTGTAGGCTTGTAGACTTTCCGAGACCATGAGCTGCATGATCGGGCCCATGGAGCCGCCCAGAGATATAGTAGGTAGCCGGGCGACGTTCTTCGCCCTCTCCTCTGCCGATGTGCTCAGATCTCCAATCATGGTCAGGGTTGTGCATACAATCGCCGAGCTAACCATGCCGGCGACGAAGCGGAAGATTGTACAGCTGACGAGAGTGGTTGCGAAGCCCATGCTCAAGCAGCATGCGAACATACTCCAGAGCCCAATGAGCGTGACGCGCCTTCTTCCCATACGGTCGGCAAGGTACCCCCAGAATAGACCCGTTGTTCCACCAAATGCGTATGCGCAGTCGAGTATACTTCGGAGGTAGGACGAGGAGAGAGTGCCGCAGTAGTCGGATGACGAGAGGAGCATCTGGAGCTGTGGTTGGAGGCTTGAAGCCATGACGCTGTATAGCGTGTCAGCATAAGTCGGAGCAGACAGGTCATGTCATTCGAGATTAGGTAGTAGAACTTACGCCTCAGCAAGGAAGATGAGGTACACAAGCATCAGCTGCGACCATCGCGACTTATCCGCACCATCTGGCGCGTTGTGCATCTCCATCTCTTCCTCTACATACAACTCCTCCTCTTCCTCAACCATAGCCACCTTATCATACTTGCCCAAATCCTTGACCGGTATTAAAGACCTCGTCCTTCTGTGGAAACCCAGCATCTTGCAAGAACTCAAACGATCAATCCGAAAAACTTGGCTGAAAACACTTCAAATGTGCGATAACGCGTTTATCGCAGGAGAGAGCGTGTGCAGGTACGAACCAGCGTAACCTGTAGAGAGATTGTAACGGCCACGACGGGACCTAAAGGTAAGATAGAGAGTGACAGGAAAGACTGGTCAAGGGAGCGACGAAAGACTCGCCTCGAAAGAGAGAGGGTTGACAGTCAGAAGTACAACGGCGGCAACAGCATCGCGAGGGGTTTGAGCTTGACGGGGCTCTTGAAACGAAACTATACTGACTGGCGTCTCATTGGCGATCAGCCCAACCCAAAGTCTAAACGCTAGTACTATTGGAGCTAAGCCCCTTAGCCTGAAGCCACATGAGGTCACACGCAGACGGTTCGTTGCTCCTGATCCACTGTAAGCGGAAACCTGCAGCGGTCCTATTTTCAGGTCCCATCTTTTGTGGTCTTTGCTTCGACGTTCGTTTTTGACCACCACCAAGATTCTTTGTCCGAAGCAACGTGATGCGCAAAAATATATGTCGTCGTTTCATTAGCCGCGTTCCGCGAAGAAGAACTGAACTTAAATGACTGCACGAGCGACTGGAGTATTCCACGTTCTGCTTCGTCCACGGCTTCATCGCGCAGAACATGGTGGCCATGAGCTCTAGATCTGATGAGTTGAATGGAAACTTTCGAGCATGGCGTATTGAACTAGTTTTGGAGGAACTAGTGAATCATCGTTCTTCTTGGTAGCGAGAGCCATAGAATCTATACTCTATATAAAGCCTCTCCATATCTCGCTAGAGAGAAATATCAAGGTGGTACTATAGTCGTCTATAGAGGCTGGCGATTTAAAAGGAATTATGACCGAGATGACGTCTAGATTTCTTACTACGACCTGAATGGTTTATTTACTAATTCAAATAAGTGCATTGGGCAATGAATTTAGCTATATAATATCAAAGGTTGTGATACCTAGTCGAATTGAAATACTCGTCCGCATTGAGGGTTGTCAAGGTCCTGGTACCCGACCAGGAGCTCGTCGGGAGGTAGAAACAAGCCCAATCAGACTCCGTCTCCATTGAGCTCGTTCTTACTTCACATGTGGTGTTGCAAACGTATGACAGACCTCGAGCTCGACAGTGAGAAATATAGTGGAACATTTGCCGTTGGCGCCGTGGTTCGATATGGGAATAATTCGAGGGTTCCAACAACCCGAGCCATGGCGTTCACTTATCACAAAACTTCAGACGATATATTCTCAAAAGCCATGATTTTCATTACTGGATATTCCCAGATCTCGCACAGACCCAATCAGCCATGGCGACTCGTCCACGCCTTGGCCAAACCCATGTCCTTACCCCCTACGATCGGGACTTCGCCAGGCCAAAAACGTCGAAAGGATATCCTACAAGAAAAACACCTCTGTCGAGCCAGAAACAGCAGACAAGATGTTCTTCCCCAGTGGTGTCTCCTCTACGCGAAGTAGACTCTATAGAAATTCCTACACCATGCAATTCTCCGTTGAGTGTAGTAGACTTGACAGAATGTTCTACACCAAGTGCATCTCCGTTGAGCCAAACAGACTCAACAAAATATCCTTCGCCTAAAGGAACATCTACGCCAGTCTTTCATCCGTACAACTCGCATCCCTTCAGGCCACAAATCCCGGTAGGGTATCCTTCATGGGGAGAATTTGAAGAAGTCCAAGCCATAATTGCGCCATACTGGCACATCTTCAACCTCGTGCTTGAATATGAACCAAGACTTCGCGTTCACCTTGATACCAACCCATCACCTGGACTGGGCAAGCCTATCGTCATCTGCGAGAGTGAGTATCCACCGATACATGGGAGATGGATACAAGCATACGGTCCTGCTGTTCATGATCCTTGGATCAGTCCAGACATGCGAAGGGGGTCTAATAAGTTTAATCACTGCGACTTCAGCATCCGCGTCTTCTTGTACGTGCTCGAGCCTCTTCTGAGCCGTGTCAACGCTAGGATAACCTGGCTCGCGGTGGTAGCAAAACCGTATTGGGTCATCTTCTGGAAAGATTATCATTATCAACCGGATCCACAAGTCCGTCACAGCGTCTTCAATATCGAAACTCGGTCCGGCGACGAGTACATTGCAGACTTTACGATTGAGCAATTTGGCTACTCAAGCGAGTGTTGGCTGATGCGCAAGAGTCAGTACGAGAAGCAGTGTACTATGGGTATCAGAATGCGGCAACCGAGATCTGAAGAGGTCGACGAGGCGCGGCGAGGCGAGGTTAAGTTTTGGATTAAGAAAGCACAGGCTATATGGATGGTTTGCCAAATAATGCATCATTATGGATTGGGTTCCATGGACGATGTGATGTTCGTTAGGTGGTTGGAGTTTTGGGTGAAAGACGTTTCTTTGTATATGTGGCAAAGACAACCGGCTTACCAACCGGTTCAATGACGGATAATGGAGCGATTCTACTTTCGAAGCACGAACATCCAGTCTAGAGCGGGGGAGATGGCTGCTCCGGGGTGATGTATGTAGATGAACACTCGTCATTGCGTACTTTTGCAAAAGAAATGAGCAGCATTGTATTCCGAGATGAGAGGAGCATCTCGCAAAGAGACAGATAGATCGAATGTGAGTTGGTACGGCGGCAAGGGCGTCCACGCTCCTATGCCCGGCTTTTGTCCGCAGCGAGTCGTGAGAGAGGGTAGAATCCAACACCTGGGCGTGGCAAAGCTACGTAAAGTATGAGACAACCTCACGCCTATACTTAGTCCCAGAGTACCCCGCCATGGATCTTATAACTGTGGCTCCCTCAATATCGATACGCCTCTCACGCCTGCATGCGCAGCCCTAACATCACATGCATGTTGACGACGTGTTTCTGGCCCCCACGATTCCGGTGAAAGGCGTCCTGTGCTACTCGCCCAATGGAAGGATGTGGCATACGTATGCGCCGACACCCAGAACATCAGGACACGGTGGATTGCGCAACGACGGAATAGTGGGTATGACGGCGTGCGCATCTGTGCAATTCCAGGGAGCGGGGACGGCGGCTTTATCAATAGCGACGCCTTAGTTGTCTTAGTTGCTGGCCCACCAGAAGTGGTGAGGAAGGCGAAATGGCTCCATCCATGCACAGCCCTGTCGCCCTTTGCAAGCCTCCACCCATAGGGCGCCTTATGCCATCAACCAGTGATAAGCGTCCGCTAGCAGCCGTTCCTGCGCTTCTTAGGGTTGACCGGTTTCTTGCAAGGGTCTAGTCACCGCTGGATTGGAGCCAATTCTCGCAGTCTTCTGGTGGTTCCGTGTCTATCACCATAGAAGGGTTTGCGGTGAAGGACACAATAAGTTTGGCGCTCGATTCCTGCGCCCACGCATATGCCAGAAACGCGGCAAAGGTACAAGTGACGGATTGGCTGACGTTGTGCCGATGGACGAATAATGGCATGTCGCTCGTATTCAAGATCCGAGCAGGGGCTGACTGCGCGGAACGTCAAGTGTCCGTGCACTGCTGCCTGGAGTTGGACTCCACTCACTGGAGGAAGCGACGACATCCCGTTCCTTCCCTCTTGAACCACCTACTCCCCCCAGCCCGCGCTCCTCGATATCTCTTCTTGCTTCAAATCCTAATCCTCAGGCCTCCCTTCCTCCTCGTCTTTTTGCACCGCAGACCCGCCGCCCTTGTGCATCTTTTGCCGCTCGCCGCCCGTCTTACTCCACGTGCTGCGCCTTCCTATATACCAGCACTTCTCCTCCGACAGTCGACAAGAGGACTCAGCGCCCTTTACCCTCTCTCTGCATCGCTCTCATCACTCTAGCCTATCATTTGTTAGCTTCCGCGGCCGCAAAGGTTCCACTGTCCCCGGTCAATGAAAACGTGATCTGGGCTTGGATAACCACTTACACTTGGTCCTTTTGGTTCGCCGGGTTTGGGGAATCGTGCAGTCCGTGACTCACCTGAGGCCGCCTTTCCCACTTCAACCGGTACTACGACCAGTCATAGCTCAACATGTCTGCACCCCACGACCAGAACCGTCATCCCCGCCGCCGTCCTCTTAAGGGCTCAGCCTCCCCTCTCAGCACCCATGGCATGCAGCTCCGGAAGAGCGGTACTTTCTCGTCGCCAACCCACATATCGTCCGACATCTGCGACGTCGACAAATACTTCATGCCCCGCCGCTCACCGACCAGCACTGAGCGACTAGAGGAGCTAGTCAACGACTCCATCCAAGACCCTAGCGTGCGTCGCGTCACCAACCTGCTCAAGGACTTCGAGGCGAGGGTCGCTGGCCATAAGAGCGCTGCTGCCGGCTCTGACCTTCTCAACGACCCGGAGGTTCTTCCCGTCCCGAGCTTTGTCCTCGACAGCACCTCATTGGACCACACCCCAATGGACATTGACCCAAAGCCTACTGCAGCTCAACGCAGCCCCCACGACCACGCTTCTGACAGCGGTCTGGGTTCGAGTATCAGTGGATCGAAATACGGTAAGGAGTCACCGCAGCTACCCGTCTTGGAAGAGAACGCCCCGCATTCTAACATATATAAAGACGAGATTCGCACTCAGCGCTCCAGCGTTCGTGAATCCATCAGCACCTCAATCAGCTCAACACACTCGGCTGTCACCAGGTCCTTTTCCGCACTCGGTTCTCCAGAGGAGGATCACGTGCTTGGTGAGCACACGTGCAAGCAGATCCACGACTTCATTGTCAAGCCCATTCTCGCCGAGGAGTCCCTCAAAGACTTTCACTCGCTTGTCAAGGACGTTCCCCGACGCATAGGTGAGAAGAACATCCGAAACCTCCGTGATCTCGAGAAGACCCTCATATTCCTCGCACCGGTAAGTGGAACCACCCGTTGTCTTTCTCAAAGTGCAGTAGCTTATTGCATTTTTCGTGGTTTAAAGGAGCTGTCGGCTACCCCGGACTCGTACACTCGTTTTTGCGAACGATCAATTCAACTCTTGGCTACGACCGTCCAGTACATCTCCGAACAAGACCAGCGACTACCAACCGACCGCCCTTATACTGACGGCTACTTCCTCGATTTGATGGAACAGATTAGACGATACGCTTCAATCATGGCTGCTACAAGAGAAAAAGAATCCAAGGGCGAGGACCTAGACGACATGGATTACTCACGGTATGACCGCGCCGCCGGCTTTCTATTCGCACGCACTAATCAAATGGTCCATAGCGATGAGAAGATCACCCTCCGTGGTGGCATCAGCCACAACGGCCGTCCCGTCGAGCTAGTCCGGGAGAAGAACGGCAAAGTCATGCCCATCTCGGAAGATGCCTCAAAAGCCTTCAGGATCAAGCGCCGTCTCTCGGATGCCTCCGAGGACAGCATGGACGAGGATGAAGTCACCCGCTCCATGGCGCGCCGCCGTAAGTCCGAGAAGCCAGGAGATGTAATGCACATTTGCCGTGACTGCAAGAAGGAGTTCAAGCGACCATGCGATCTGACCAAGCACGAGAAGACCCATTCTCGCCCGTGGAAGTGCTCTGAGAAGAACTGCAAGTACTTCGATCTTGGCTGGCCAACTGAGAAGGAACGTGACAGGCATATGAACGACAAGCACTCTGCTGCTCCTGCCCAGTACAAGTGTCTCTACCCACCATGCTCGTACGCCTCAAAGCGTGAGTCCAACTGCAAGCAGCACATGGAGAAGGCTCATGGCTGGGAGTACGTTCGTTCCAAGAGCAACGGTCGCAAGAAGGGTCCTACTGGCAGCGAGAACAGCCCCACTACCCCTCTTACTCCTTTCATTGGCACACCAATGTCAGCGACCATGACTACACCCATCACACCGTTCATCCCATCGCCACAAGTGCCCATGATCGACAACTTTGACTTCTACGGCGTTAACACGCCAGCTTTGAGCCACCAGGGTTTCCAGGATGACTTCCGCCGTGACTCGATCACAACCGACGGCTCCTTCTTCACCTACTCATCTGGACGTTCGCCCGTTGAGCCCACATCCTTTGTTGATGCTGTGACCCCAGAAGATACTCACATCAACCACAACGACATCTACAACGCCTGTGACCTGAACGCAAATTTCAACACGGGTTTCCAGCAGCCAACCCCAATGAGCACGGCGTTTGACTACGCGCCATTGCCATTCGCAACCAGCAGCACGATGAATGGGCTCCCACACCTATCACCGTTGGCTCAGCCTGACGTTACTCTCTTCTCACCACACATGGATGAGGGTTTCAGTGGTGATATGGATATGACCATGCAGGGCTTCAGTCGCCCCACTGAGGACTTCACGTTGTTCGATACCGCGCCGCCTAGCCAGATGGCGTTCAACAACACGTCCAATTTCTTCCCCGATTTCAACCAGCTTGGGGGGCAATTCGACAACTTGTACGCCGAGCCCACCACTACGTTGGATGATTTAACCTTTATGGGCTATGGAAACCCGCAGTAATTTCTACACTATATTGTATACGATTAGTGGGCACTTGTATAGCCGTCTTTCCCATCTTGTACTTTTACAGAAGGAGTAATTTTCCATTGAGCGGGCGTCTGGACACTTGTTTTTCTGAACAGCTATTACGACTGTTATGACAAGAGGAGGAAATGAGGAAGATATATGTAGGCACGTATTCACGGCCTGGCCTTTTCTTCGCTCTGCCATACTGGTATGGCATCATGGTTGCCTCGTACAGAACAGAACAGAAACTCCACAAAAAAACAAAGGATCTTTGTTTGATGCGGGTTTTCTCTTTTCCTCTCATTTCTTTCCTCTAGCGACTGATTTCGATCTCCCCCCTACCTCCTTCTTTCTGGCCGCCCATTTACGGAGTCTCAAGGCTGTGGTAGAGATCATCAGATAGTGTAGGATAGATAGAAATAAGAAACGGTGGAAAGGAAATCGCTGTTTTCGTCCGGTGTTATCAGAAGTGCAATGTCAAAGTCCACCCAGCTTTCTTCACAATCCCGGTAAGCATCGATCTAGTCGCTGATAATCACGCGACCGTGCACGGGAGGTGGACAACCTTTTAGTACGCCCGCTTAAATGTTCACCCTTTACAGACAGCATCCAAACAAGACATGGAAGACTTGCGATCCAACTTTGGATAATCTTTGTACCGGACTGTGTCGGTAGCTTTTCGGACATGATAGTGACTGAGTTGTACATTGAAGCTGACGACGTGCCAAGGTCATGTAACGAGAGAAGACCACAGCGCGCAATGACGATTAGCCTTGAGATGTGTTATATAAGATGGGGTAATCCTCGAATCTCCTGTTTCAGTACATTCGTTCTTTCCTCTATCACAGAAATAGGTTTCTGAACCATGATCTCCCGTGGTATCATCGCTGCCCTCAGCACTGCGTGCCTCGCTGGCGCATTCGCTCCCGGCCTCGAAGTGGTCTACGATCTGGATCTAGCAACTCAAGGCATCGCATTCTCGGCCGAGGGACGTAAGTTCCTAATGCAAAGATACTCTCTTACCGATCCTCCACGAGCAGTCGAGCTTCTGGACGACAACTCTACAGTGCTCTACCCCAACGCCGAATGGAATTCCTACAATTCAAGCGACAGTATTTCGGATCCAGCGAAGACTTTTGTCAGTCTCGACGGCGCCCGCATTGGACCTGATGGACGCTACTGGCTAGTCGATGGAGGATCTCAGGGCCTCAATCACTCCACAAAGTTAATCGGCATCAACCTTTCCAACGACACGGTTGACAAGCTTTACTACCTCGACGACATTAAAACCTCCAGCAGCGGCATCGACGACGTGCGATTCGGACCCTCCGGCGATGTCGCATACTTGAGCGATACAGCTGGAGCACTACTTGTCCTCAATATGACGACGGGAGAGGGAGTGCGGGTACTAGCCGACGACCCGACAGCAGTCGCATGGTTCCCCATGATGTATAACCATACTCTTGTTCCGGGCTACGGTGCTGCTGGAAGCACACTCGCGGTCGGACTCGATCAGATGGAAGTTTCGCCAGATGGCATGTGGTTGTACTACCAGCCTTGTAATGGCGGCTTGTTCAAGATCAAGACTGCCTTGGTTGACGCGACTTTGACTAATTCTACTCTGGCCGCTAGTCTGGGTGACTATACTGAGGCGGTTGCACTGACTCCCAGCACGGGCGGGAGTACGATTGACGGGGGTGGCAACCTATACTTCAGTGATACCACATTGCTTGCCATCTGGAAGGTAACCCCTGAGGGCTATGCTTCTATCTTGGTCCAGGATGATGCGCTCGTTTGGACAGATCAGATGTGGGTCACTGCCGACAAGAAGCTTTGGCTGCCAGCTTCGCAGATGCGACCAGGGGCAGACGGACTCATGGCTTCAAGCCCCAATTACATATTCACTTTTCCCATCGATGCAGGGCCATCTCCAATCGACCATGCTTAGCTCAGCCGGAAGCTTTTGTATCCTAACGTAGCATAGAGATGTGTTAGTAATGCATAAGTGTTTATCAGAAATTGGCATATCTACGGAAGACGTATAGCGCCAGTGGGACGGTCTCATTAAGGTGTGGCCTTGGAATTGGGTCTTGAGCTCGCAATAAAGCTGAGAATAGACACACAATACACACATTACTTATGCTTTACATTAATTCAGCAACCTACATCGTTGTGGGTGATATCCTACAAGTGGGTCTTCGAAGACAGTCTATATCTGAACTGGTTGCCACCCAAGGATAACAGGATCATATAGAGCGACGAACTATTCGCAACTTCCTCGGCTGTATAAACAGTCATTCTCAAGTGGAGTATTTCGCAACTATTTTAGACTGAAAGAGGACTTAGATACGTGTATGGTCATTAATTTCGTAAAATAACTTCAATCAACATCTTCCGATGGTATCTCACATTCCAGCTCGTTGTCACCCATTTTCCCCTTGTTACTGACGCGCCCATTCAAACCATCCTCACTTTCTACATTCCCCATCCCAGCTTCAAGCACCTCAAACCTTTCCAGTAGCCCAACATCCCACCCTTGGAACTTCTTCGCAGTAGGTGGCAATAACCTCTGACTCCTTTCAAGCGCCCCTTCCAGCTCCCCATACAACTCCTCAGGAAACTCCACGTCCTCTACTTGTGCACTTTCTGCTTCCCCAGGCTTCAAAGCTTGCCAGGTCTGCTTCTGGTAGAAAATCTTCATCGTACGTGTGGGATCGAGGCGACCAGGCGTGGGTATGGAAGAAGAGAAGAGAAGGTCCGGGGTAAACACCCAGACCAGAAGGGAAGGTATGGGTTCAGTTTCTTCGGAAGGGTTGGAGGGAGGTGGAGGAGGGGTGTGAATGTGAAATTTGCGGAGGCCGGTGTTGTCGATTAGATGGAGAAGACGGGCTGTTATCCATTTCTGGACTGTGTAGGTAGTCGGAGAGGTGGATGATGTAGATGTTGTGGATGGGGACATGGATCTTACGCCAATGGCCCACTTTCGTATGCGCCAGCCGGAGGTAGCAGGATCCTGGGTGCCGATCGTGTGGTTGCAATGCGCGCATTGGATCAGGTCTGTCGGCAGCTCTGCTTCTTTTTTGGAAGACATCTGTGTCATATCAGTACGAGTGGACGACCCGAAACAAACATAAACAACAGTATAGATGAAATGTAGCCTTGGCTAAACCTGCCAATCCCAAGGGTCTAAGGGTATAGAGACAGTGAAACGCCAGGCCGTCAACTCAACAGCGCCGGTAATCCATCAACCTGAGGAAGAGGATACACCCGGAGCAGAGAGCACGTGTATGATCATGTTGTTTTAGGGAGCTTGTATCGACGATGATGCCACTGGAAAGGCGAGTTCGCCTTCTTTGCGCCCATTTCCACGAGAACGATGGAATAAAAGGAAAAGTATAGCTTACCTGTGCGCCATCACAGTCCTGCTCCGCCAGTAAGAAACTCGCCAGATCAACAAAGCCTACCCCGTCTACAGCCTGCAAGCGATTGCCAGCTGCATATCCCTTCTGCCCAACAACCTCATCGTGACTATGATCATGCAAGTGATGCTCATCCGGCTTATGGCAATGCCAAAAGTCCATCATCTCAGCCCAATTCTCATTCGGTAGATCTTTCCACTGCCGAATCTTCCCCTTGGACACAATCACGCCTTCGCAGCTCTTACAAGTAAGCTCCACATCTTGTGCATCGTTGAGTGACGCGCCATCCCATGGCACAATATTGGCTTGTCGGTCCTCACGTTGCAGTGCGCCCAGGAGGTCGCTTCCTTCGCGCTCTTCTAGTTGAAGACGTAGCGTGAGTTCCTTGGTTGGGGGTTGCGATGGAAGTTCGAGCGCAGCCTCGCCTCCACCCTCGATGTTGACAGGCAGACGTATCGACGCAGACTGGCCTTCGTGCGACACAGTGATGTAAGACCCGTCGCTCGACAGCTTCGCATCAGTTGAGCGCGAGAAATTCGTGCGCAGCGAGGCGAAAAGCGTGACAGTACGTATATGCAGCAGGAGCTCTGCATACAGCGTTATAGAAGTCTCGTTGGGCGACATGGGCCGCGCGTTGTCCTCATCGCTCTGGAGGAGGTTCGGCGCGTGTATTTCGGGGGGTTCAGGCGGCGGTGGCTTGGGATTCATCAGGTCTTTGATCGCTTCAGGAGAGAGGCCGAGAGCTGCGTATGCTGACTCGGGAAGTAGCGGGCGCGACATACTTCTTCGTGATTGCACGCCATGTTGGCGGGGTGAAGGGGAACGTGGGGTTGGGAAAGTGCGATGGAGCTACGACGCGCGAACGACGAAGTTGACTTAATCGGGAGTGGGTCTTTGGGGAGGTTCTAGCCACATCTGGAGGACCACAACAGTGTACTCATCTTTGCATCTTCCAGGAGGGAGTTGCTGAGTGACGTGTGATTACATTATACCAAGACTACATACAGCCTGCAATATAGGAGTGAACTTGTCTCTAACCGACCTGAGCTCAACGCGTTCCCACGCACAAGTCTACTGGCCCTTCTTCTCGCCAGCCTTCTTGTCCTGCTCCAGAATATACTGTACGCCCCTCTTGATGCCTTCATCGAGGGTGACAAGTGGCTCATACCCTAACCGCTGCCTCGCCTTGTTGATGCTGTGGTATTTCGACATGCTGCTGTATTTGACTTGAGCCCTGGTCAAACTAGGCTTCTTCCCCAGGAGCCAGAAGATGTTCTCCAGGATCGCACCAACAGTCCATGCGAAGTCGGCGCTGAGATGCCACACGCTGCTCAACGGTGTCTGATCACCTGCTTCGTGCCATACCGAACGCGCAAAATCCCAGAAGTATACGGGCTGGCCGTTCGTGATGAAGAATGCTTCGCCGTCGACGCGCTCGGTGTCTAGGGGAATGCTGGGCAGGCGTCTGTGGGTATGGAGCAGTGCGATAGTAGCGAGGACATGTCCGTATGCGACGTTCTCAACGTACGTGAAGTCGAACATGTTGTTGTTCTCACCAACTTGGAACTTAGTCTTTCCTGTCTTGTACGCGTTGACTATCTTAGGGAGCAGTTGTACATCGCCTTCGCCGAAGATACCGGCAGGGCGGATGGCGCAGGTCAGGAAGCTAGGGTCGTTTTCAGGGCTGCGGTTGGCTTGGAGGACGGCTGTCTCTGCGTATGCCTGAGAACCAAGTCAGCGAAGAAGACGAGATAATGCTGTAATATGCTTACCTTTGTGGTTGTATAGTACTCAGGCTGGGCATCGCCAGTAACAAGTGGCCATCTCTCGTCCGCGTTGATGAGCTCAGTCTGATGGTCGAGGATAACACTCGCTGAGCTTGTATACACAAATGCCTTGACTCCAGCTTCTTGCGCAGCTTTCAGCAGGACCTTGGTTCCGCCAACATTGACCTTCTCGTGAATCTCAGGCTTCAGGTCGAAGTGCGGAGATGCTGTGTGGATGACCGCATTGGGCTTCACCTCAGAGAACAGCGCCTTCATGGCGGCAGCGTCTGTGATGTCGCCATCGTGGTAGGATACGTTCGGGCTGGAGTTGCGATTCGAGTTGGTTCGTAGATCGAGAACTGCGACTTGTGTCTGGGGGTGACGGTTGACAATGAAGCTGACGATGTGGCTTCCGAGAAAGCCGCAGCCGCCAATGACAAGCACCTTTCCGAGCGATTGGATCGTGTCTGAGTTGTTCGGCATGTTTAGCGATGGTAGGATGGTGCAATTGGGGTGCGACGATCAGAGAGTTGTTTTGCGGAGAGAGATGAACCGACATAAGTCCGGGGGCCTGGGTTCAGGGTCCCGGCGGCCAAACTTTGCGCGTAAAGCGCCGTATGCACGGGCGAATCTCACATGTCAAACGTCAAGCATAGATGAATTCAACTTTCGATATCACGCCTCAATGAAATAGCATGTCATTGATGACTAACGCCGTTACCGATGCTGTTGTGCCCAGAATCCCCACTGAACGCCATATAATGCAAGCCAGGACCACGGGGTCGGACTTGGGGTATCATGTAATATCATGTCTGATGAAGTCGGCCGTTATATCATTACTCCACCTTGTTCCTCCTAGAAACAGTTCCTACACGGCTGTCAGCGAGCATCCTAGCTTCACTTGACCATAAACTTACTCAGCACTGTCTTGTGCAGACCGCCTTAATTTGCGGTTGTAGAGCTTCTTCTCCTCTGGTGTACCCCAGAAAAGCTTCGCAGCCTCAGGGTTCACCAGCGTGCGTGGGTCGTATGCAGGCGATTCCTCCTCGATAGCAGCAATTATGGCCTCGATGTGTGATCGCATGTCATCCTTACGGGCAGCGTCGTAGCAGAGAATGCCATCAGGTGACACGCGATGGTGGTAGAGGACTGGTGTCTCGAACCTCACGCGGGGTAGGACCTCAGGAAACTTCGGGCTAATGTACAGCATGATTCTGAACATGCCACCGTCAAGGTTGGTCATAGGCCTGCCAAAGAGGACCAGCTGCCACACGAATGGATTTTTGTCCACCAGATCAAGGTCCAGTGTGACGGCGTCTTGCTTCTTGTACTTTTCAATGATCTGCTCATACTGGCGCTGGAGATTGTTGGCGATGCTCATCTCCTTCCTAACAGCGGCCATTCCCTCAGCAGCCCAAGCCTCCATCTCCTTGTTAAGGGTCTCGAAGATCTTTACGAGCCGCTCTCGGAGTTGTGTGTACTGGAATGTACCCTCCATTGCGTTGCCTGGTCCCTCGAAGGGCATCTTCTCGAATCGTTCACCATCCTTGTTCTTCTTCGCCGCCTCATCTACACGAGCCAGATACGACTGGTAGTACCACAGGAAGCGTCGCTTGCAGAGGTCCTTGAAGGGTTCAAACGGCGCGTCGTCCCTGCTAGACTGATAGTCCTCTTCCGCGTTGTACACGGTTGGGCCCGACCTCCCCCAGCTGATGCCCAGGTATTCTTCAAGCCGGTCTATGACTGATATGCGTAAGGATTCATGACGGATCTTGTCAACGTATGCCTCCTGGTTCTTCTTGTCGTAGTCTGAGTTGGCGTCCTCGAAACCAGGCTCGTTCTCATATGGGTTACTGGACATGAGGCTCTGGATAGAGATGAGGATAGATTCGAGTCCCTGGGCAGATGACCACTCTTCCCCACGCTCTCCTCGCCATGTGCTACGTCTTGTTAGCGTATACCCAAATCGAGTGCTTCCCGCAACCTACCCAAGAATTGACAGGCACACCTTCCCACCCGCATAGATATTGGGGTTGAAACGCGTGCGCCCACCATGCGTAGTGATAGCCGTCACACTCGGCGCCTTTGTTGGGTAGTCTCGGGTGAACTTGACAGCGAATTCGAAGAAGCCAAACTCGTATGGGGTGTCAGGTGGGCCGATGATTAGTGCCCGCACATGGCGCACGTCGATATCGCGACAGGCTACAGCTATGGAGAGGTCGGAGCCACGCTGGATCTCGCCCAGTTCGCGGGTAATTCTCAGAATGCTCTGGTTCGACATGGTGTCGCGGACGTCTCCCGGCTGCGGTTTGGAGAGTTGAGTTCGCGGGGTATGGGAAGCTCAACAGTCCGCGTAGGCCGGGCTGATAATTTTGAGCGGGTGTGGGTGTCGTTGTACGGTATGGATTTCGTGGAGAAATAGTGGGCGGGTCAAGTGTTGTAAAAGGGCAAGCAAACAATGGTTGCCCAGCTGTCAAGGCGGGTGCTGTGGAGTCCTGAGGGGCAGAACCCCGTCACCGCTTACGGGACACGAGCCGCAACACCACGCCGCCTAGACTTCCGTGATAGTTTGTACTTTCAGTTGACAAGATGTAATAAAGCGCTTTGTGGTCTTCCTTATCGCTGGCTAATACTATGGTGTAGGGTGGTGTTCGCGCTGTTCATAATCAGCAAGTCTGGCGGCCTCATCTACAATCGAGAGTTCCACACGGGCATGAGCAAGCTTACTAGCAATGACTACCTCATGCTTGCTGGATCGTTTCATGGGTAATATGCAGTTTGCCCAAGTCGAAATATCCCACTGACCAGCATCTAGAATGCATGCCATAACAGCGCAGCTCTCTCCAGTCCCACCTGTCCGCGCGCCTCCTCCGTCCACCGCGACTCCCAACCTCCAGACATTCCCTGTCCGCGCAACTGGTATTGAAGTCCTGGAAAGCTCTCACTTCCGTATTCAATGTTTCCAAACGCAAACCGGTGTCAAATTCCTCCTCTTCACAGAGCCCCAGCAACCGAACGTAGACACGATGATGAAGAAGATATATGAACTGTACGCAGACTACGTCATGAAGAACCCGTTCTACACTGTGGAGATGCCGGTCCGGTGCGAGAAATTCGATCGAGGGCTGGATGGTTTCGTAAAGGTCAGGGGATGAGCAAGAGTTCACAAGAAATATGATACCATGAAAAGGAGAGGAAAGACAGAAAGCAGAGCAACGTACAGGGCAGCATGGAAAGCATCCTGTTGCGACATGTGTTATAAGAGTGCCACAAATCGGAAGCACTATGCGTAAACTCGTTGCATGGCTCTAGAGCCTTACTGCTGAGTCTGAAGCATGCACAATGGCTTCAGAGGTTTCAATAGAGAGGCGTAGCCACCCTTCCTGGGGAAGCCAGGCTATTCGAGTGTGAGAGGTATACCGTAGAAGACGTCACTTCCGTAATCCAGTCAACATAGACTAGTATTCATTATTTGCTTCATTTATTCATCCATGCCATGCGGTAGACGCCAGCTCTAGTCATACAGTAGACGCCGTGAATGCTCTGCCCATCTTGAAGCTTCAAGGGCCATCCCATCCTAGCTGCACTATGTGCGCGCTAGCTTATGCCGTGTCCATCTTGTCTGCGTCGTCATCCTTCTTGTCCTTACTGCCACTTCCGCTTGGCTGACCTTGATTGTCTAGCAGCGGCTGCTTCTCGTCACCCTCAGCGACTGGCTCAAGCTCTGACTTGCCTTCAGCGGCCTCCTTGGTCTTCTTGTCCTTTTCCTGCCGTGCTTTCTCTTCCTCAAAAGACATTCTTAGCGCCAATGCGAGCTCGGGGTCAACCGATGGATCTACGCCGAACTCGAAGTCATTGCCGCCTGATGGACCGCCACCTCCGCCTCCAGAACTGCTGTCACCTCCAGTATTGGATGCACCCTCTCCACCAACAATAGGCGTGGTGATCAGCGAGTCACTAAGCAGGTTCGCGCTTGGCGGGATGGTAGCAAGGTAGGAACCTTCGGCGCTTTGTACGTTGTCGCTGAAGGCCTGGAGTTTCCGCGTGGTGTCGTCGCTTAGCTCGCCGAATGCGATGATGTCGATGCTAATACCGCTCTTCTTCATCTTCTTTGCCAACTTGACCAGGTTCTTCTCGTCTTCCTCGATGGGGCTGCAGTTGAACATGACTATCCGCTGCTTCTGCGACTTGTTCTGCCTGTGCTTGAGGGCCAACTGTAACACTCATTAGCTCGGGCATCTTTCCAAGGTTTCCAGATATCATACAGCCGCGACGTTGATGCCCGTCACAAAGTGCGAGCTGCCCTTTATCTTTGTCCGGTGCAGACCGTCCAAAACCTTGCCAATGTCCGTTGTCAGGGTCGTGAGGATCTCCGGTGTGTTGCCTCCCATGCTCATAAGGCCGACGGAAGACTCTGGGTTTGCACCAGTCTTTGCGGAGAAGATCATGTTCACGGCGTCCTGTTGTGCTTCCCATCGCGAGGGTACATAATCGCCGTTTCGACTAGCTTCGCTGTTGTCAACGCTGTTCGAGTTAGCATATGATCGCTGAATCAGTGAGAGCAGCCGTACACTATCATAGAAGCTTCTAACACCATCTTGCAAATCGGTTGTATGTGGGGTTGAGGTGATTGTTTGGGTAGTTGCTCGGATCGACGGTAACGTTATGATGCTGAGCTCAAGGTCGCCGCAACGGAGGACGGAGGCTGGCCATCGAACCGCCGAGATCACGTGCAAGTCTGACCGCGACTGCGGGAGGCCGTGCGGAAGCAAGGGTGGGTCGACTCAGATGGCGTTTGCGACACCTGTAAACTGACTCGCGCAATTCAACATTGAATATTACTCCAATTCTCGAGCGTTGCGTTGCAATTATTGTTGCGCAGACTGCCATATAATTATGATGTTCGTGCTCGCCTCGCATATGACTGGTTACGATGCTGCAGGCGCTATGCTGAAATGATCGGGTGCCCTTGGCGCGCTGGCGTAAAGACAGACCTCAGACCCTCCATCCTTCCTTCCTCACACATCCCACTCGAGAATCTGAAGCTGCGACCAACACTACCCGCAACTACACCAAAATTGCTCAGAAACTCTCCGAAACTGCCGCAAAAACATCAGAAATTCTCAATAAGTCTCTTGCACTACTCTGTTCTTCTCCCCAGTTTACTTGTCGCGCCTTTTCTCGCGTTGTTTACTGTTCTTCACGACTCTCAACTTTCGGAAGCTGCAACCCTCTTCCACCATCACCACACCTGAGCTGCTCAGACCCCGTTAGGAGTTCTTCGAAAGTACCAACAAGTCTATCTTGCTTGCTGCCACCCCTCTCTACCGCCGATACCCATATCACCGCTGTCGACGCGTTGTCCACCACTACAACGCGACTATGAACAACATCCAAGACGGACTCACAGCTGAGGCGAAAGCCAACATGCTAGCCAACCTCCAGCTCGAAATCAACTCTCGCAAAGAGAAGCTGCGAGCGCAATGCGATGCACAATGCGCTAGTCTGCAGTCGCGCCTGGAGAGACGCGTCAACCGCATCCCTACCGTGACGCGACAAACCACGCTACTTGATCTCCTCAAGGCATCCGCGCCAGCGCAACCAGTCGCCGCGCCTGCTCCAGCGACTAAGACCACCGTCACCAAGAAAATATCTGCGCCTGCGCCGGCACCTGCCACACGCAAGACACGCACCGCTCCTCCCACAAACCCCAGTTCATCTGCCGCAGCAACCTCATCACCCGACAACAGGCGCGTCAAACCTGCCCCAAAAACGACTAAACCAACACCTAGCTACGCCAAAGCGACGCAGACAACGCGCACCAAGAAGCGCAGCAGCGACGAGATGTCAGGAACAGACAAGGAGAACGCAGAGATGCAAGTACCCAAGAAGCGCACAAGGGCACCAGTCCAGAAACCAGCGTCCGCAGCTCCCACAACTCGTGCAACCCGCGCAGCATCCCGCACCAAAACGACTAAATCACACGTCTTGTCGCCTAAGACCAATACCGCCAATGTCAAGAAGCCAGCTGCGCGTAGCGCCCGTCCTAGGTAGCGCCCTTAGGCGGACATCGATTACTACAGCATTGATTATACGGCATTGATTGTTTTTGGCGTTTGATACCCTCTCGTTATTGCATTTAAGCGGCGTTGAAGGGAGTTTTTTTTTTGGATTTTGGCTTTCACCTCCGCCCTGGCTTGAATGAAGGGCTCTGTTGATTGTAGCCGCCCGCAAGGGCAGGCTCTCACGGGGTTCCTGAACACAGCCGGATGGAGTTACAAGCAGATTTGATGTTTCTTGTACATGGCTTCTTTTTTTTTTCCCTTTGAAATTGGCAGTTTGGCTTGGTAGTAGCATAACGATGAAGCTCAAGTAGCGTAGACAATGATGAATAATGATCAATATTTGACCTTGTAGTTTTTGCTTGCGATGACTACTTGTGAACCCGGTCCCAAAAGCTTGTGGCATGTATTGGAGGTTGAAGCATACAGCAGCGCCAGGTACTCCCAGTGTGTTAGCGGAGGCTACCTCAAATACATCCTGGGCACATTTTCAGTTTGAGCCTGCTAACACGGGTTACTAAATCAATAATTTCGATACTGTGACCAAATCAAACTTGCGATGGATACACAGAAACCCGATTCAAATAAGATAGCGAGATGCGTTATAGCTAGAAGCATACATCAACCTTTGTTCCTTCAGGCAGCTGAGGTGGATCAACACATATGCCTCTAGGATACATTATCATTTAGTCCCACTTCATGACCGCTTCCTCAACAATCGGCCTGATGACCTTCCTGCCCGCACCACTCTTATGCGTCCACACCATCTGTCTCGGTGCCAGCTCATCCGCGCGATGCCATGGCTGGAAATCAATACCCTCCTCGTTGTTCTCCAACGCCTCCTTGACTGTCTTGAACAGCGAATCCGCTTGGTCCTGATCGATACGTACGTCGTCACGGACAGTCAGGACGACTTCGCGTATCTTCTCCTTCTCGCCGTCTTTGTAGTGCTTCTTATATTTGTTGAGTGTGATGGCGATGTCGACGCCGGCTTCAGCGGTCCAGGCGGCGTGGACGGCGAACCAGTCTGAGGGTGTGTTAGTTGAGTCGTGCATCAAGAGCTGCTGAAGGTGGATTTGGAGGACTTACCAAAGAGTTCTGCAAAATCCGTCTTGAGAATCTGTTCATCCATCGAGTAAGGAACAGATGCGAAGCCAATGCTCACAGTAGGTGTACGCGGCGAAGGAGTATCAATAATATCGCCCTTCCAGTCCCGACGCAACAAATCGCGAAGACCGAGGTTATCAATGTCCTTTTGTGCTTCACTCAGCTCGTCGTCTAGGTCTTCCATTACGTCTTCTAGGCTGTCCTTTTTCCAGTTGCTGCGTGCAAGAACGCGCTTGGAAACTGCAATGTCGGTTTTGGTAGTCTTTTTACCAGTCAAGCCGCCAGAGTCGATGGCGATGGCGCTGAGAACCAGCTCGAGGAGTTCGTGCGGCATATGGTATTCTTGATCCAACTGCTCGAGCTCGTCGAGCATTTGGCGAGCTACAAGCGTGGTGCAACTTGCTACTACTTCGAAGACACGGGGTTCAGCGTCGGGAGCTGTACCGCGGTCTTTGTGGTGGTCGAAGATGCTGAGAATCTTTGCTTCACTCCATTTGCGTAATGGGCTGCTGTGGTCGACTAGGACGATGCCCTTGAGCTTCTTCCCGAGAGTCTCGGGGTCTTCGGGTAGTTCGTCGAGCGTCAATAGATCCTCGTGGCCAGGCGTCATCTGCGAGTTGTCCAGAGCCAGTCTGTTCTCTGGCCTCAGATCCAGCGCATGCGACGGAGTCTGGAGAAGTGCAATTGCTTTAATGGGGTTCGACGTGTTTTGGGACGAATGCTCAAGATGGTATGCCCAAGTCAGCGCCGCCGTCATGGAATCCAAATCACCACCCTCATTGCCCTGTACAATCACCCACTCTGACTCCTTGCCGGCTTGCCAGTCGATCAGAAACTCCTTCTTTGTGGCGCGACTCCATTCGCTGAAGTGGCCCACTCCGAGTGTTTTGACAAGATGCTTGGACGCGTCGAGAACTGCTTGTTGGGGCGCGCTGCGCTGGGGCATTGCGACGACGACGCGGCTGGCTGCCAGGAAGGCCGGTACG